TTAGGATTAACTAACCTAAGGCTTAGGCTAAATAATCTTATTGGTTTAGGCTTAGCTAATCTTATGGATTAGGGTTAGCTAACCTAGGACTTAGGCTTAGTTAATCATGTTAGTTTATGGTTAAATAACCTAAGGTTTAGGTTAATTAATTCTATTGGTTTAGGGTTAACTAACTTGAGGTTTAGGTTGACTAATCTTAGTAGCTAGGATCACTAATCCTAATGATCTAGGTTAAGGCTGACCTAAGATTAAGGTTTAGTTTATGATAAACATAATGTGTAGGTTAAACTAAACTAATGTTCATGTTAACTAACCCTAAACTCCAAGAAGTTTAGTCTGAATTGAATGATAGGATGAATTAAATATCAATTTTAAAATGGTCCAACTATTCAATTTGGAGTCAGCTAAAGGTTAAGTTTACCTAGGCTAAACTCATTCTAAAGACTGGCTGGCCTAAAGGCCTAAATGACTAAAATTGAACTTAATGGATAATTGACTCAATCCTTGAGTTGCTTGACCAGGTCTGTAATCAGGTTGAACATGACTTAAAGAGAATTGACTAGGTTGGACTTGGGTTGAGCTTAGGCTAGATAAACTTAGCCTGCATTAAACCTAAACCCTAATTAACGTGTTTTAATTATAAAAATTATTTTAAACATAATTTTAAAATTTAAAACCTCTGTTTAAGGTCAAACATTCAATCAGAGAGAGTTTTATAATTTTTTTTAATTTTTATAATTTTTAATTTACATAAATATGTCTTTCTATTCAAAAATCAAAATACAAATATAGAGACATTAAAATGTCTTGGAAAAATCAGAGAAGCTTTCTCTAAGGCCATTTAATATCTCTACCAAATTTCATATTTTCCTCATTTATATTTTAATTTGATTTAAATGATTTAAATACTCCAAAACTTTAAAAATTAATTTAAGAAAATTTACTCGGTGAAAAATCATGATTTTAGTTTTAAAAAAATATTCTCCTTTCCCTGAGTATATAACATCTTTCAGTTTATTTTTTTAAGTTTTATATAAAAAGTTATGTAATTTTGAAGTTAAGTCATAATTTTTAGAATTAAGAAAAAAGAAAATAATCCCGAATTTTTTCTTCTCCCTCACCCGACACCTGCGACACACGCACAGAGTAAACCAACGGTTGAAACTTCCCGGGCTTCATTCTCCTCTGATTCTCAACTAAATTTAGTTATCTTGGGCTTATTTTGTTCAGTTCGAAGATTAGATCACATCCATATGGATACTTGGGTATTTTGTGATCCATTTTTTTATCTGGAATGGAGAAAATTTTGGGATTATCGTTTCAATTTAAGAGATATACCTGAGTCTAACAGGTTTGTCCTCAATTGGGTTTGAATAAGTTGGCTCTCTTTGAGTGTATCCAAGACCTTGTGGCGTCAATTTGACATGTTTTTCACGTCGGGTTGGAGGTTCACCAAAATTTGGTTTGGCTTCAGCTTTCCGGCGACGTCGGCGGGTTTCGACGAGGGAGGAGGTGGGGGAGTTGCTGCTGTGTTTGGAGAAGAGGGAATGGTGGGTTTTATAGGGGGAAAAATAAAGGAGTGGAAGTGAGAGGCTGCGCATGGTTATAGGATTTTTTTTTTTATGGCGCGTGCTAATGAGAGGATTGGGGAGAGAGAGGGAGGAAGGGATTTTTTTTATTTTTATTTTTATTATTATATGGGCTATAGAGAGAGAGAGAGAGAGAGAGGAGAGTGAGGGAGGGGAGGCGTGAGAGGGAGAGAAATTTTCTTTTCATATGGGCTGTAGAGAGAGAGAGAGAGAGAGGATGGAGGCGTGGGAGAGGATGGTAGTCGCCCATGGGATTAGATATTTACAAGCGAGAGTTACAATAGAGATAGGATATTATATTATATTATATTTTAATAATATTATTATTACTATTATTACTCTCGTATTTTTCATCCAGACACGTCATTGCAACGAAGTGGATATCCTTCCTGGCTAAAATTGACATTCCAGACGCACTCATGTGACTGTTTCGTCATCCAGAGTCGTTCGGATGACTTTCGTCGACGGTTATGTCAAAAATTCGTCAAATTTAATTTTCATCGATTTTTTTGTTCGTGATCAATCGTTTTTTGAAATTGATCATGGGCCAATTAAATGTATTTGAATTCAATTGAAATTGGATCTAAACATGTTGAATTTGATGTGAATTTGAAATTGGGGTATTTGATTAATCATGATGCTCAATTTGGGGATTTTTGGACTTTGAATCAATTTGAGGCAATTCACTTGGACTTGGATTTGGAGTTTGGAATTGAGCTTTAATTTAGTTTGAATTGGATTAGGACATGGTGAATTTGAGTTTATAATTGAAATTGAGAAAATTTGAAATCAATTAGGAGCAAATTGGGGTGATTCGGAGACTTTAAGTACTTGGGAGCAAAATTGGGATCTTGGTCAAATGAGGTCAATTTGGTCAAATTAGCCCCAATGGATGATCAAGAATTGGTTTTAGGGGTGTTTGAGATGATTTTGGAGAATTTAGAAATTTTTGGGCCATGAGTGACATTTTGGTAAGTTTGACCAACTTTGGTCAAAATAGTCAAAATGTTGATTTAAAGGCTCTAAGTGGTTCAGGAAGAAATTTGGAGTCAAACTACAGTGTCCTGGGTCATTTTCGATCAATGTGGAAGGTTTTATGATCCCCAAAATATTTTTTAAGTATTCATTATTTTGGTGTCGAGGTGCCAAAAAGTTGTCCGGAAGTATGACAATATTACAGTCAAAATTCTTAGAAAGACAATAGAAATAATTTGGTGTGATTTTTAAAAATTATCGGTGACTCTCAGAGATTTTGATAGAAATAATTTGGTGTAATTTTTAAAAATTATCGGTGACTCTCAGAGATTTTGGAAAATTTGATATTTTAGGAGTCTAGGGGTATTTTGGTATTTTTTTGGAAAATTGGGTGTTTTTGCAATTTTTGGGTTTCAAAATGGTCTAAATGATAATATCAAATGATTTGAAGTGAGTTTTGTGATTCAATGATAGTTTTGGAAATTTTGAAGAACTAGAATATTCAAGTGAGGTCTTTTAGGGGAAACTGGGTTAAAATAATTTTGGTCAGCCTTATGAGTGTAATGATTGCAACATTGTGATATGAAAATACAATATTTATAATGATCATGGTGATTATGAATGACGATGCAATGTATTGAAGTCCAAAAAAGGTGTAGAGCAGTGCAAGACTTTCTTATAGTTCAAAGATTCTATAGGAATTCTCATCAGGGTTCTCTTATGTAATATCTAATTTTTGTATTAAAGATTATTGATCACATATGGAACCAACATAGAGAACAAATACTTGGTTGAAATGTGTAAGGAGAATGTGGGTACCATTTCTAAGATGCTACGATAGTCATTAGAAAAATCTTAAGGTTAGATTCTAGTCACTAAAGGAAAAACCTAAAACCCTCACCCAAAAGTGAGGTCAACAGCTCTTTCTACTGACAATTTATTAGCGCTTTTCCTCTCTCTTGACCTCTCCTTCTCCCAGCTCTAATTATAGAGTCATGTATTTCCAAACGACAATCGCGGATTCAACAGTAATAATGATGATTATGCTCCAAAATCTAATTTTGCAAAAACTTCATTTTATTTTTTGTGTATTTATTTGGCCATGGTGAATGCACGTGAATGCACATCTCTTGTTCCTCTTTCCATGTAAGAAGTAAACTAAACCCAATCCTTCTTCTGGCAAGCTTAAATATGCAATACATAAAGTCGATCAATGCCTAGCCATCAAAGTCAATTCCTTAAAATCTCATTGAAAATCACCGTCACGTACTCACCAAACCCCTTCAGACCTCTCGGTACACAAAGTTGGCCGGAGTTATCAAAGAGGATCCAAACTAGTCATTGGATATGCTTTGAATTTGGTGCAACTGATAGGCAGTAGCAACCACCTAATTATTCAAACATGGTAGTATCAACATTATTTTTGAGCCTGGGTAAAATCAATAAATGTCCGCAAATTTTAGGTGTTGCCTTCCTTGACATAACATGATTCAGCTCATGTAATGAAAATAAAAATTTTAAGTTAATTTTGTATGATTCTTCAAAGACTTGGTCGATTTAATTAGAATTTAAGAAGATTTAAATGCATAGCTCTTAATTCCTTTGTCATTATACATCTAACACAAAAATTTCAATTTTTACGTATGTTCCACCTTATCTATGCATGAGAAAGGAGTATTTCACGTTTAAAAAATTAAAATAGAGATATTTTTATTTGATATAAAATGTAAAAAATAAAGTTTATACAACAACAACAAAGCCTCAATCCCAGCACGTGGGGTCGGCTACATGAATCATTCTTCTCCATTGCGCCCTATCTATTGTCATAATTTCATAGAACATAGAAAACAAAGTTTATAATAAATAAAAATTACATTGGACATTGTTTTTGTGTATAATAGTCATGTCTATTATAATTCGATTACTACAATGAGACGACATTTATTTTGAATTACTACTCGAGCGAACCCTCAGATGCAATCCTATAGATATATTACCATCAGAATACATTTTGATTTACATACTTGTCTCAACTGAAGTCTTCACCGTTGATTTCGAACTTCATAACTATAACATTTACCAAACCTCCACTACATATATTACAAAACAAATAAAACTACTTATTTATTGGCATCAATGTAGCACGCAAAGGTTGGCTACAAATTAACTTCTTTCATTTTTAAAGGCAACACCTTAGAGCAGCGGAAAGAAATCTTTTAAAGAAATCCTTGTAAAGAAACTAATATTGTAAATTAGCATTCATTATTGAATGACATAGTACATGCATTAAAGATCTGTGTGTATAGATCGATCTGATACTACTGGTAGCCTCTTCCCTATAAATTAAGCTAGTTTCATATGAGTCCCAAATACAAAATAAACTGATCAAAACAAGGCATCTGCACTATATAGTAAACTAATTTCAAGGAGAGTGAGATGGCGAGAGAAACACTGACCAACCTCTGCATTTTCTTGCTTGTCACCTTCACTCTTTTTGCGTCGATTAATGCAGTTGAAAAGAAAGAAAAGGAGTGTGTCAAGCAAGAAGGCAGCGTTCTGATTCCCGGAATCGGGCGCTACATGCCTGGAAGCCATCGGCCGAAGCCCAGCATATCCGGGTTGGACAACAGTGGCCCGGCGGCGGCCCATGCTCGATACATCCCCGGTAACGACGATACCTTCGTACCCAACCCAGGATATGAAGTTCCAAACCCAGGATCAAATCTTCCTTGAGCTTATAATTACTCACTCTTTTAATAAGTGCCTTCTATATATATATATATAGACATGCGCACTAGAGTTTCAGAGCATTGTTCTGCTATTGAACTATTGCTCGTAGCAATTATCATCTGTCTACATGATGGAGTTTGTCTATGTGTTGTTCACTTTCATCAAGTTAAGTGTGTTTCTCTCTAAGGCCGTCTTCAACCTTTCGGTTGATTAATTAGAATTTATTTGGTGTAATTGTGCTGATGTGTGGTCTGAAATAGAACTAAGATTATGTTGTTATCTAAAATGCAAGATTCTTTATAATATTTTATAAGTCAATATATATGCTAGCTGGCATATGAAATTATATAATGAATTTGTAAAATGAGAATATTAAATGTAATTGTGCACCAATAAAAGGCCTAGGAATCCCATCTTTTCCAAAACATTGCTCCCACATGTTAGTCGTCGAGGTTGACTTGTTGGGGTAACTTGCAAACCTAATCTTTCAAAATGTAGCCATCATATACCAACTATCAAGATTAACCTGCCAAGGTGACTTGCCAATCACAAATGTTGAAAAACCTGCAATTTCTTCTCTTGAGCCATCAGATTGAGCTATCGATGTGAACCATTAAGCTTGTTCGTTAAGTTCACTAATCAAGTATTCCTCAAGATCATCAACTACCAGAGTATATGACATCATTAAAGAGCAGAATTGTGTCGATTTCCATTTATGAGTCATCTGAAACTTACATTACAGTCATTCATTAATGCTCCATGGGTAGACCTCGTATTGTACAAATATTATTTTTTATTTATTTTTCTCTCTATAATCTTATGAAGGTGGGAGAAGCCACAAGGAGATGCTTTAATGCTTTCAAGGGGATGAAATCTAGATCCTCTTCTTTAGCTTCTTTTAAGAATGGGAGCTATGGCTCAGAGAGTGCTCATCCATCATCTTCCACAATATCCTTTTCTTCACAAGTTTCCTTTAGGTTGTATGAGTCCACAAAAGATAAAAGACCTGACATCCCAAAAAGATTCAATATTTTAAAAGGTGCAATAAGTTTAGAGCTAATATGTAATTCCAACCCAATGACCTTTGAAGTACGAAAAAAGTATAAAATGATGGTGTACTAGAGAGTCAATGATTCATTAGATCAATGAGATAAAAGAGCATATGAGAATGATGATACAACAAGTAAGATAAGATGCCGCTAAAAATTGCTCCAGAACCCATTCTAGGAGACATGTTGGATCATCAGGATCAATGGCTTATTGATTGGAGCAACCAATCATGACACCTAGAAGAGCCCTATCCTCAACTCTAGAAGAGGAGGAGGATGAGTTGTACATTATAGATGAAGAAGTTATTGAATCCTCAGATGAGAATGTTGATAGAAAAAAAAGATAAGAAGAAAATATAAAAGTTGTCATAAAATTTCTTTTTCAAGATAATCATAGAAGTTGATACTCTGAGAAAGTTCAAGAATCCATTTTTTGAATCCTATAAAGGAAGAACTGATCCAATTGATCATGTAACGTTTTTTGAGGTTATAACATGTAAATGTTGTATGAAGTGTTGTTTGTTTCTCATGACACTGAAAAAATATGCTTTATGTTGGTTTAACAACTTACCTGCAGAAATCATTAATGAAATCTTGAGAACTTCTGACGATCTTAAAAGAGAATTCAAAGTCTAAATAGCATCATCACAAAATTTCAACATGAGGTGTTCAATGTTAAAGATCTAAAACTGATTGATCTTCAAAAATCAAGAACTTTAATCAAGCTTTTGGAACTGACCAAAAATCACATTTCAACTTAAGAGTACAATTCTTTATTGAGTATTTCTCTAGAACTTAGCAGTCAAAATCCTAATTTTGAAGAAGACTTCTTAAAGATCATCAAGATCAAATGCATTGGTCACTCAGAGTCATTCTCAAAAACATTTCAAAGGAGAATTTCTTGAGAGAAAGACTTCTCTGATGATATGTTGATCAGAAAAAAGCTAAAAAATAGGTTGGAACCCTTGGTTCTATCCAACAAAAGTCACTCCACTGATATTTTCGATGGATGAGATCATTAATGTTATCCTAAATAAAAAAAAAATTATTCAAGAATCCCTTGTAGATACTAGTCAGAAGTCACATGTGTGACCCAAATAAATATTGTGCCTATCACAGAGATCATAAGCATGATCTGGAGGAGTGTCAGCACCTCAAGAACCTAATTTAGGAGCTAATTTGAGCCAACACATGAAGGAGTTTGTGGCCCTAGTTGTAAATACTGGTACGTAGAGGAAGGCACTAACCAAAGATGCAAGGAACATGTTCCAGTGAGAGCAACCCACTTAGTTGGTGTAATCGTAGCTATCTTTCGAGAAGACATACCTAAAGCATCATAATAATCAAATCTAAAGCTATTGAAGAGATAGGAAGTTAATTAACTACCCTCAATAGGCAAATCATTCAAGTCAATCCACTGATTATCTTCACAAATGCCAATTTTCAAAACATTGGGAATCCTTTCAACGAAATCATGGTGGTCATCATAATAATCGTGACACCGACATTTTCGTTAACATCTTATTCAAGGAGGTCTTAAAAATGGTAATGGAAAACATTTAACAATTACTTACTTTAGGTTAGCTATATGGATTCTCTAAAGAGACGAAGAACACATACATTGTGATATCTTTACCAATAGCTTAAGAGAAGATAAAAAATATACTACCTTAGCAAAATCATTGTAATGGATCTCTCATCCACCTATATTGCCATTTTTTGGAGATCAATTCTCATTACCTTCAATTTTGTGACATGCATTTATCACGTAGTAATGAAATTATTAGGTAGAAAAAAAAACATTACAATCCAAGAAGATTTATTCTAATATTGGATGTACTACCTACGAGCTATGGAGAATATACAAGAAAATTTCATCCATGAATAAATGAAGTAGCTTAAAAACCATTGAGACTATTGTCGGCACTAAAAAGTTGAGGAGTTGCCCGTTGGAAGCTCTCAATCGCTGGAATCAAAATCCCGTCGCCCACTTCGGAAGGTCATTTAATTTACATATATATATTTATAATTTTAGAAAAATATGAAATTAAACTGAACCCATATTTTTTATAGTTTAAATAAAAGAGCACTATACCTCAAACCCTGTATCTATCCCGAAGGATAAGCACAAGACTTTAGGATGAAGCTTGATCAAATAAACTAAGAAATATATGGCATCCGTTTGGACTGCGTTGACTGAAATATTCCCCTATTTAATATGAGGAATTAAATAGGGTTTATATTAAGCTAGTTTCGAAAAAACTTCTTATAAGGGCAAGCCCCTATAGTTAATTACATCTTAAATGACTGATGTCACTCAAGAAAAATCTCGATAAAAATCAGGGGATATTATCTTCAAAGAGTTTAAAGGAATAGGAATTTTCAATGAAATTGGATAAAGAGGTGTGAACGGAGAATGACTCAAATTTGGAACATTTATTATAGAATCCGAAGAAAGAAAGACTATGAGGTGTCACAGATCCTGAGGACAACCTCGGTGACTTCCCAAACTATCATACTGTTTGGCTTCAATTTAGAAGAGAAATATTTAAACGTTTCATCCTGTCAATTTTATTAGTTAGGGCTTATATCTATGTGAAAGGATTACACAAATAGCCTGAAAGATATGAGGATTTAGGTCGTTACAAATGATAACCTCGGAATCCTAAGGCGGGTTATGGCTTAAATTGCATAACATAGCTTTAAAAAGGCCTAAAGATAAGTTGAAGATTTATGTTGCATAATCAAACAACCTCAAAGTCCTAGGGATTATTGCTTAATTATAATAAATGGTTTAGCTGGTGTAGACATGTTTTGCTATTGAAGATGGCTGTGCTGCCCACGATGATAGCTCCAAGCTCTTCATCGTAGCAGGTTTAAGTTTTCTAATATGTCAAGTCATGATGTCAAATAAAATGTCCCTATGGTTATGGTTCTTTAAATATTATGGGGAATATTAAAGTTTATTAGAGCGAAACCGATTAAGATTCTACGGTTCCCTCGTTCCAGTACCATTATTTTCTTTTGGATTCACTTAGTATAAATGAATTTACTAACCTCAACTTAATGAATTTCGTACTTTCATTTAAATTGTGAGAAACATCGTTAGCAACCGTAGGTTACCTCCTCCGAGGGATTCCCGACCATCCGATAGAGACGTCTAAATTTAGGTGCAATTGTTGTTTTGTGATGTTTGTGATTATATTTTGAGTTTTCTTATATT